TCAGAACTTCAAAATTCATGTTCTGTCATTTCATCACATCTTCTGGCTAAGGCTTTATGCCAGAAGGACACTCAAAACATACTAGCACTTTGAAGTTAAAAAAGCACCTTCTATATGGAAAGACCTAGTGAATTATCTCCCTTAAAAAAATAGGTATACGGTAAAGACACTGAATTTCAAATTTTACGTTCAAAGTTTGATGCCACATAAAAATTTACCTTTGGTTAAACTTGACATATTGTATGTTTAATATTAAAGCTCAGTGCTCTATGTTTTAAACCATTTAAATATTTGTTGATTTGAATGTCATATTTAATATTGAAAAGATGTTTTTTCTCTCTCTATATAAAAATTTTGTCATGTCGGTAGGGACATTTAAGGATGTTTTTTTCCACAGAAGTAAATCATATATTGGTTGTAGAATGAAAATAGTGTGTGACCTCCAAACCTAACTATATTTCACATATTCTGTGTAAGATTTATTACCATCAGATCATTAAATGTGACAAAATATTGAGTTGACTGTTTTGACTCCATTTTGTGAAAACACCCTTATATACCTTGTTTTCTCGGTATACGGGCTGAAACATCGTCTCTTTTTTGAGTGGAGACCTCCACTCAAAAAAGAGACGGTTATCAACTCATACACCTTGAAAACAAGGTATATAACTATTACATATTCAGTGTAATGGTCACATGCATGCCTCTAACTGTGCATCCGCGTGTTTGAGTTGTGAAATACCGAAATCAGTCATACTTGTTGCAAAATTGCCTTCCTAATAGCCGACATTTTGTTAGAGCATACTATAAACTGTTTATAACGTGTACACGAACCATAAAAGTTATTCTTAACCCAGTCGGTGCAGAAAAGTATGACGTTAAACCCCATTTAATTTTATAAAAGTTCCCGGTTGCTTGTTTCTAATCATCTATTACTATCAGTGTTCCTCGGTATCCTTTGTCTCAAGTGCTTTATCGCGTTTCTTGCATTTATGTGCTACTTTTTAAAAAAAAATTTATGAACCAACAACTTTTTTTTAAAAAAAGATCAACTTTTCACCTTTATCATAAATTGTCGAATATATTGGGTATAAATCATGTCAATTATTTGATGTATGTTGTCTGATTACAACAATCATGATATAAATAAAGAAAAAACAGTTTGATTACACCAATTTATATGTTTCGTAATCCTAATATATATCATTTGTTTTTTATAACAATCAAAGGAGAGGCGTATCATCAGACAATCATAGAATGTGACTTCTCTGTTCAACACTTAAAAATACCAACCTGTTGCCGGAGGCAATCGGGTGATTAATTAACAATGGATGGGAATATAAACGACGATAATATTCCAATCCAATACTATCCTATAAATACAAATAGTTATTGTTTATTCTATATATATTAAGCAGCAAAAGAAACGTCAGGTTGGTGTGTTACTCTGAATAGACGCATTGCATAAAACTTACCGTGTGTTTTTATTGTATATTTGTGACCACATCTCCAACTTTATCCGAGCTATAAGTTCCTTCCCAAACACAGAATTGAACCCAGGAAATGTTCTCAAAAACGCAACCTGACTTCTGAGATGGTAATGTGTTCTCCATGATTTTCATGTAACTCATGCTGCGCCGGGACCAGCCCTATAAAATGCACCCCCATGCCGGGTTGAATCATTCACACTACAACATCAGCAGCATGCCACGACTCAAGACAGCTCAGAGTAACCAGGCGCTGGGAAGACTAGACGCTGGCCACACTGCCCAAGCCGTTGCCAATCATTTCTAGGTCAATGCTCTACAGGCTTCAGCAACGCTTTCGGGCCACCAACACCACGGATGATGGCCCCCGAACTGGTAAACCAAGGGTTACCACAAGGCGACAGCACGTGCAGAATCCCCTAAAACAGGCATCTGAGACAACACGTCAGACAGTGGGAACACACGGAAGACCCATCAGTATAGATACAGTGCGCCGACGTCTCACCAGATAGAACATCTATTGCCGTAGACCGATCCTCACCCCTCGTCATCGACGTGACCGTCAACAGTTTGCCCAACAACACCAGAACTGGAGACACAGGTAATAGAGAACTGTTCTGTTCACAGATGAGAGTCGGTATTGCACTGGCCAGCCCTTAGTCCGGACTTAAACCCGATTGAACATCTTTGGGATGAAATTCAGAGGAGACTTAATAACGTCGTACCGAGACCAAACACGGCCGATGGATTGCGCCTGGCTTTTCATCAATCGTCTGGTCCACTCCATGTACAGACGCTGCGCTGCTGTTATTGACATTCGCGGTGGACACACCAGATACTGATGTATAGACTGTGTACAGACTCTAAACCTTCTCGTAATGTCTTGGAATTTTGCTGTCTATTATATATACTCTTCAAAAAAATTAGGTGATATTCAGAAACAATACACGTCCAATCACGATTTGGGGCAATCTGACCCACTCCTCTTGCAGTGCCATGGCCAATTCTTGCAGACGTTGACGTCGAAGAACACGTCTCCCCATCAAATTAAACGTAACACTAAAGCAATGATAAGCTAAACAGTAAATCTTATGCAAGAACCGATAGGAAAGCAAACATGGATAGATAAACCAGCACTTGGCAGTTTTCATCAACCCTTCCTTGAAGTGTCAAATTTGACAATGACCCCCCCCCCCCCAACGTGTATGGCGCTATTGCGTGTGGCATGTGCAGCTCAACGGTTCTGTTGGGGCGATAAGTTCTTCATCTGTGAACATACTCTCAAAGAATGTCAAGTGTCCACGACTATTTATCATATCACAACCTGCATAGGTATTTGCATTTCAATATCCCCTACTTTTTTTGAAGAGTGAGAAAGAGAGAGAGAGAGAGAAATGGGGTTTTAACGTCCACTCGACACAAACTAGGTCATTTCGGGACTAACATAGTTTTAATTTTATTTCATTAATTCGCTTGCGCGTAGGGGTCTTTAGCAGTGGGAGGAAACCGGAGGACCCGGAGAAAACCCACGAGGTTGGACAGGCGACCCTACTCCTTGTCACGTACAACCGGGGATTCGAAACCACGGCAGTTGACCCAATGACATGCCGTATGATACAGCACGCACGTGCTAACCATTCGGCCACCCAACCCCCTTTTTGAAAAGTATATTTTATAATTTAACCTTATATCTTCAACCTATTAGAACGTTTGGTAGGTTTTTGGTTTTGAAAAAAAAAAATGAACAAATTATAAAATATTATAGTTCATAGCGGGGGCCGATACAGGCGCGTGTCATGAGGGATTGGGGTGGGGAGGTCCGGACCCTCCCCTGCCCACACAGAGGATTTTTTTTTCTAATACATTCATTAAAATTATGTAGAACAAACGAACGTGCATTGCCGCCGTTTTGGCCCCACACCACTCTAATTCTATACATGTATACACCTAAATGAGCAGACCTAACGCCACAAGTATAATTGTACACTTGGTCTGTTTGATTCATTAAAATATATCAGGTACAGCTCATTTAAATATTCCAAATTTTCAATTTATTTATTCAAACATTTAAAGATACCTTCCCGCGTAGGCTACAAACTGTAATTTGATGATATATTTGGACTAAAAACATATTCAAACTAATTATTCTATCAAAAAGTTGCTTCAAATCTCCCTCAAAACGGGGGTCTGTTATTGAGTCAATTGGCGTGGTTTCGATTCCCCGGTTGTACGTGACAAGGAGTAGCGTCGCCTGTCCAGTCTCGTGGGGTTTTTTCCGGGTCCTCCCACTGCTAACCCTAAGCGCAAGCGAATTATTGAAATAAAATTGAACCATATGTTAGTCCCGAAATGACCTAGTTTATGTCGAGTGGACGTTAAACCCCATTTCTCACTCTCTCTCTCTCGACCTCAAAACTTTGTATTCGCGGGTAGATACCACAAGCTATAAATAAACTGTTGTTAGAAGCCATGTTTGGTCACCTAATTTGATCGAGAGAGCTTCCATTTTTCAGAATGTATTTTTCATTACTTACTGTCCATTTACCATACATATTGAGGCCTAAGTAAATTCTTAATTATTTTCTGTCAACTTCTGTTTCCGCCGTTTAATTGCAGAGTCTTTTGTAGGTTTACATCCCTCAATGTTCCCAAACCCCCTAACCATTTGATCAAGAAATAACAACCAATCCATCAGTCAAGCTAGCATACAATAAGCCGTCGGACAAGCTGTCGGGTTGCCAGTTAGTTATACCTTGACATTTTTGCCCAGTGCTTGCCCCATGGCTGTTCCAGTATTTTTCTTGTAAGATTGGCGTCTTACTTTCCATATATACCAAATTTATTTGAAATAAACACCCGATAAATACGTTTGGGACAATTTATCTTTAAAGACTAAAGGGCGCCTATCCGAGCAATTGCTTCTGCTTTGGCTCAGCTCTGTTTTTGCTCGGTCGTTGGCCAAGAAAAGATTCCATCTATACTTTCAAGTAACAGCAAATTATAATTCCAGTCAATTTAATTCCTGTCTGTTCTAAATACTGTTAATAAACGCCATTCTCTATTTACAACAGTATTGAAAGAGATAAATACAGTGTGGCGTTGTTTTAAGCTAGCCGTGGAAGCTGGGTCTAATCTGGCAGGATAATTCATCAAAATTTGAGTGAAGGCAATAAAATCTGAAGTTGACCCTGATACCTGACGTAATTCGCTTAAAGAATTAATATTTTACATAAAGTGTATCTGACATCTAGCTTAGTGACATATATTGATGTTTTCCTCTCAAACAGTCAAGTATTGAGAAATAATAAATAATATCACTTGGGGATAGATCTCATTATACACTATTCATGCCTATTATTTCTTTAAAGGAAGGGGTGAATATTTTTGGTACGTCAGTAAGTTAATCAGTTATAACTTGAAGTAAATGTCAAGAGCTTAGACTATTTCCTTGTGAGGTTTATAGCCACCTATCAATTTACTGACGAATTCCTCTCCATCAAAGCACATTTTGACAGCTTTTACGTGCGAGTGACGAAATCCAGCGCAGCTAAGTAGTTTGAAAAGAGAAATATAAATTATTTGTGATGAAGTAGCCTTGCTTTTCTGACCCATCATATTTAATCTCTCATTACCTATTAGGCAAGTTAGTTTGAGATAGTTACACGAATAACCTCGCTGCTTTTATAATTTATTGGATATAAAAACGAACGCTGTCCAGTGTGGACTTCAACAGGTACTGTTAGCATTCATTTTTATTTTAAAAGTATATGGATTGAGATTGACCAATATTTGAATTAAAATAATGCTTCATTCTAGAAACAATCATTCCTGGTAGTTGTTATTTGTTAGTTATTTAAGTATGAAATAATTAATACAATTTTACACGTTAAAGATTAGTAGTTCAACTGGGTTTTAATTAATTTCAGTATTCCAATGACGTTTCATCCTTGTCAAGTATTATATATTGTGCTGTTGGTTGCTGTGCCCGTGTCCGAGTCCTTAATCACAGAGGGGCCACTTCCTCTTCCATTGAAGGAATGCTACGAGCGTCATTACAGTAAACCCTTATCACAGGTTGTCGGCAAGACTCTGTGTTGGATGTGTGAAGCTCCTGTTCTAAGAAAAACTGAAGGCGTGGTCAAACAATTGTTACCGGCACAGAAAGCATATATCGATGGTCTATATAATTCCGTTGAGAATCATCATAGAGGGAAAAGACAGGCGCCAAGATGTTTAAGAAAGGAGTATCGACGACTCACAGATGATGAGAGAAGCGCTTTCCATCAAGCTGTTAATGCATTAAAATACGACACGGTATGTTCACAATATTATATTTACTAGTATAATGATTAACTATAATTTTACCATTCGAAGAGTTTGTTTTGGCTAATTAAAATATGATCAAGCACAGCAGGTTTAAAGGAGCTAAATCGCTAATATTTTGCATCTAGAAATTGACACAAATGGGTCACAACGCATATAATAATGTAATGTGAATGTATGTAAACTGATTTACATTCAATCGTTTCTGTTTTTACTGCATTTTCTAATCAGTATGTTCGGCGAAATACGCCAGAAGTCTCAATCGAATGGCAATCTCTAGCGCCTGGTTATTCCACTCTATACCGATAGTATTTATTGCACATGCTCTCCTGATAAGAATATGGCGTCACCGATTGACAGGACTTGTGGAATATATCTAGCCTCTTTCTACGAGTCCCTTGATAAAATGGCGCTGAAATACACCATGGTACACGATTCGTGTACCAACGGTAAATGTTTATTTTGTCTTAATTATTGGATATCAGAAGCCCATCTTTTCCCCGTAAGGTCACAACATCAATGTTGATTTAAATTGACAAGTAATTCGTGTTTTCAATGTCGAAGATTTTGGATGATATTGAGTTAGAGACTTAGTTAGCTACTTTAAACTCCCGATTATTTCGCTTGCCATTTATAAGATATGACATCCTTTTACTATATCTAAATGAAATTAGTATATACAACAATGATTAACTTTATGTGAAAGTGGGTCTCATACCTCAATGTAAACATATTTACTTGTAAATAATAAGCTGTAAAGGAAGGGAATAGCCAGATATTTCACATTGGTTGAAGTCAAAAGTAGTGTATCTTATTCCCTTTGTTTTGATCTCAGGTAAAGTGTTAAGAAAAAAGGAGATAATTACTATGGAAGGGTATCGCTGCCAATATTAAATGCTCTGCGACAATGTCGTTTACATTGATTATATGTAAAAAGTAAAATGTAGAAAGTCCTAATACCGATAATGATAAAGTCAAAATACCTCTAAGGCATGAGTTCAATGTAAAACGCCAAATGTTAAGTGTTAAATGACAAATGTCCCATTTCTCCTTCACGCTTTCTACATAGCATCTTTCGCACGTAGCATCAACTTTCATATGCAAATGTAGGATATCACGTGACTTATTAACAAATACGGAAACCTGGCACACTGTAAGCCAGAACAAGGATATTCACGACACTACAACAGGAAATCAGTTTAGCACAATAAAAATTGACTTACCTTGAGAATTTGGATGGTACTTTACCATGATTACGGGGTGGGGTCTGTGCAATGTCCAAATACGACATTCCAGGTATCATGTTACATATTAGTGAAAAGCACGTTCATTTTTTTTGTAAATATGTAAATAGTTTTATGGTACAATCGTATTTTCATAATTTAAATCAAATAAATATCACACTATTAAAGGGATATTCAAGTAAAAATACTAATCTAAATACGAAATTCCAGATACCATTTTACGTATCACGGATTGCTCTTTTCAAATATGCAAATAATTTTCTAGCACATTCATATTTGCTTAACTTTACAAAATAAGATTAAAGTTAAAGCGAAGGAAGCGTGTGTGTGTGTGTGTGTGTGTGGGGGGGGGACTAAACTAAACTAAACTAAACTAAAGATACGTTGCTTAATCAAAAATTCTGTATGTCCATACTAAAAAATGTAGTCATTCCTCTCTTTAAATATATTATTTATTTTTTGGGCGCAATGCTTATAATATATTGGGGTTTTTTTTTTTAATAGATCAATGTTAATTTGTCTGTACTCAACTCTCTTTATAGAGAGACCGGAAAAAGTAGGGGGTTAAAATATCAAAATACGGGTATTAATACGAAATTCCAGTTATTGTGTTATAAATTACTGGAAAGTATGTTTCTTTGGCTCTTTGAATCTATCAATTATTTCCTGGCACATTCATGATTCATGGTGTGCCAGCTAGTTTTACTGTTATCGTGCCGTGAATATCCTTAGTGTGCTGGTTTATAGTCTGCCGGGTTTCCGTATATGTTAATAAGTCACGTGATATCCTACATTTGCATATGAAAGTTGATGCTGTGCGAAAGATGCTATCTAGAATGCGTAAAGGGCAAATGTGATGTGGCGGAGTGCAAATGTAAACACGTCAAAACAAGCGGTTGCCATGCAAGATACGCCCACATTTTGCAAGCGATGGACAGAGAACAAGCTCCAAAAAAGAAGTGATTTTTTCGTACAATCAAGGGCCATAATTCAGGAAGTTATGATCCAATATGTGCGAATATCGAAAGGAACCAAGATCTTTGGGTTATAAATATGTATTTCAAGTTTCATCAAAATCGGATCAAAATGGTGAGCTCTATAGGGTCCACAACCTTGATATACCATATTTTTACGCTATTTGAGAACGAACGGCGGCCATTTTGTCTGTCAATTGTGGGCCAATTTTCACGAAATTCGAACTCCGTCGTCCTTAGGGTGTAACGGTGACATAATAATACGGTTTTTTTTAAATCTGATAACAATTATGACCTATATAGGGTCCACAAGCTAAAAACGCGATTTTTCGTACAATCAGGGACCATAATTCAGGAAGTTAAGGTCCGATATGCGCGAATATCGAAAGGAACCGAGATCTTTGGGTTATAAAATTACATTTCAAGTTTCAACAAAATCGGATAAAAATTGTGACCTCTATAGGGTCCACAACCTTGATATACCATATTTTTACGCTATTTGAGAACGAACGGCGGGCATTTTTGTCTGTCAATTTTGGGCCGATTTTCACGAAATTCGAACTCAGTCGTCCTTAGGGTGTAACGGTGATATAATAATACGTTTTTTTAAATCGGATAAAAATTATGACCTCTATAGGGTCCACAAGCTAAAAACGCGATTTTTCGTACAATCATGGGCCATAATTAAGAAAGTTACGGAACGATATGCGCGAATATCGAAAGGAACGGAGATCTTTGGGTTATAAACTTACATTTCAAGTTTCAACAAAATCGGATAAAAATTGTGACCTCTATAGGGTCCACAACCTTGATATACCATATTTTTACGCTATTTGAGAACGAACGACGGCCATTTTGTCTGTCAATTTTGTGCCGATTTTCACGAAATTCGAACTCAGTCGTCCTTAGGGTGTAACGGTGATATAATAATACGGTTTTTTAAATCGGATAAAAATTATGACTTCTATAGGGTCCACAAGCTAAAAACGCGATTTTTCTTACAAACAGGGGCCATAATTCAGGAAGTTACAGTCCGATATGTGCGAATATCGAAAGGAACTGAGATCTTTGGGTAATAAACTTACATTTCAAGTTTCAACAAAATCGGATAAAAATTGTGACCTCTATAGGGTACACAACCTTGATATACCATATTTTTTATGCTATTTGAGAACGAACGGCGGCCATTTTGTCTGTCAATTTTGGGCCGATTTTCACGAAATTCGAACTCAGTCGTCCTTAGGGTGTAACGGTGATATAATAATACGGTTTTTTAAATCGGATAAAAATTATGACTTCTATAGGGTCCACAAGCTAAAAACGCGATTTTTCGTACAAACAGGGGCTATAATTCAGGAAGTTACAGTCCGATATGCGCGAATATCGAAAGGAACTGAGATCTTTGGGTTATAAACTTATATTTCAAGTTTCAACAAAATCGGATAGAAATTGTGACCTCTATAGGGTCCACAAGCTAAAAACGTGATTTTTCGTACAAACAGGGGCCATAATCCATGAAGTTTCGATCCGATACATGCCAATATCGAAAGCAGCCGAGATTTTTTTGGGATAAAGCTATATTTCAAGTTTCGTCAAAATCGGACAAGAACTGTGACCTGTAGAGAGTCCACAAACAATTTGTGGACGTCCGGACGGACAGGGGCGACGACAATATACGTCCACATGAAAATGTGGGCGTATAAAAAGCATTTTCCCACAAAAGATTTGTCATTTAACATTTGACGTTTTACATTTAACTCTTGCCTTAGAGGTAATTTGACTTTATCATTATCGGTATTATTTTTTTTACATATAATCAATGGAAACGACATTGTCGCAGAGCATTTAATATTATCAGCGATACCCTTCCATAAATTACACCTTTTAGATGTTAATAAAATAACAAGAATAGATTTGCAGACAACACAAGTGTTACTCGAAACAAATTCAAACATGGCTTCCGCTATCCTGCTTCGATAATTTCTTGACTTATTTTTAAAGAACCTACACCATAAAATCTCAATTGGGGCCCGTGTTTAAAAAAATGGGAAAACGTCCATGAGCTGAAATTGGGGAAACATTAGTGACACCAGTGTTGGATTCATTTCACTTGAGTAATCAAAAGCTAAGAGAATGTTACAAATTTGGTTGAGTAAGTTCCAAAGGAGCTAAATCGCTAATATTTGGGACCTAGAAAATGACACAAATGAGTAGCAACGCATATAACAATGTAATAAGAATGTATATAAACTGATTTACATTCAATCGTTTCCGTTTTTACTCTAATTTCAAATCAGTTATGTTCGGCGATGATCTTGGAGATTTCGCTTTTGACAATTGTATTTTTCTGTGCAAAAAAAAAAAAACAAAAAAAAAAAAAATCTCCGATCTATGGGGTGCTACAACATTTCTGTATATTTTGTCTATTTCAGTCAGTAACACCGAATAGATATGACGCTATTGCTTCACTTCATACTGGCACTGCATCCTTAGTAGCTCATGGTGGACCACTTTTTCCTAGTTGGCATAGAATATACCTTTTAATGTAAGTTTCAGAATACATTTGTAATTTTAACCAGCGGCTGCCAGGCAGGATACGCCCACATTTTGCAAGAGATGGGTAGAGAACAAGCTAAGAACAAAAACGTTATTTTGTACAATCAGGGGCCATAATCCAGAAAGGTATGGTCTGAAATGCGCAAGTATCAAAAGGGACTGAGACTTTTGGAATATACAGATTTTTTAAGTAACATCCAAATTGGATAAAAATTGTGACCTCTAGAGGGCCCATAACCTTTGTATTATATACTTATACACAATTTGTGCACAAAGAGCGGCCATTCTGTCCCAAAATTCGAATTTAACCTTCATTATGGTAGAATGGTGATATATCTAAACAGTTTCTAAAATCGGAAAAAAAAATGTGACCTCTAGAGAATCCACAAACTAAAAATGCGATTTTCGACTAATCAGGGGCCATAATCCAGGAAGTTACGTTCGGATATGTGGAGGCAGACCACCATTAAATTTCATCATCTCGGTACCACGAATTGTAGTTCGTCTATTTATAGCAATTCTCTCTCTCTCTCTTTTCTCCCCTTTTGCATGCCCATTTGTGTTGATTTTTTGGTCTAGAATGGACGAAGAGGGTTTGAATTAACATTTTCTGCCAGGTTTTGGTAAATATTCATGATTTTGAGGCGGAAGGATAAGAGGGTTATCAGGTTAGCTACGGCGATATGTACGGCAACTAGTTACATGTTTTTTTTAGTATGCTTCTGCAAGTTTGTGTATCTCAAAATTTTGGTGGTCAACCTCATACAAATTTTAGTGCAAAGACATGACCATTTGTTCCTCTGTCTGTAGTGAAAAGCATTCAGCCCAACGAAAATTTGGGGAAAAGTTGGAGGTGGGCAAAGAGGCCAGAATTAACATTCAAGTCAATGGGGAAATTAATGGTGGTCTGTCTCCATGTATGATTATCAAAAGGAACCAATATCTTTATGATAAAAACATATATTTCAAGTTTCATCCAAATCGGATAAAAACTGTGGCTTCTAGGGGGTCCAAAACCTTGATATACCATATTTTTTTTTAACACTATTTGAGTACAAGGTGCGGCCTTTTTGCCCGTCAGTTTTTGTCCGATTTTCACGAAGTTTGAACTTAATCATCATTAGTGTATAACTGTGATATATTCACACGTTTTTTTTTTAAATCGGATAAAAATTGTGACCTCTATATTATTATTATTATTACAGCATGTTTCTAGTGCGCCCTTTCATATAACATGTTCAGGGGCACTTTACAAAGTGACAATGTAATTATAAATAAACAACAAGGTTATGGACATGTTAACAATTGTATACAGAGTCAGTTAAAAGCCTGATTAAATAAATGTGTTTTAAGCTGTTTTTTAAAAGAATATAGAAATGTACAACATCTTAAACTAAATGGTTGATTATTCCATAAAACAGGTGCTAGATACGTAAAAGCCTGACCATAAGAGACTAATTGAACAGGTTTGGGCTTTAAAAGTATTCTATACTCAGCCAAATTAAAAACTTGACACTCGGGATTTTCGGGACTAGAGTTTTAATATTTGGTTTAAGGCAACTATTTTAGTGTTATGTTGTGCACAGACAACCTTGACATCAACAGAAAGCAAGAATACGTCTCGCCGAAAGTCCTTGACATTGATAACGTTCGTGATGTCACAGTACCCCCCAAAATGAAATTCACAGACTTGGAGAACAATCGGAATAAAGTGTTTAGTAACGGTTGTGGCCTCCTCTAGCGTCTCGTACTGCCACACAACGTCTTCTCATGGATCTCAGAACATTACTAAAACCTACCCGAGGAATACGTCGCCACTGCTCAGCAAGAGCATGTTGATGGTCCTGCAACGTCAGTGGTGGATTCACTTGCTGACGAACACGTCGACCCAGTTCGTCCCAGATGTGTTCAATAGGATTAAGGCCGGGGCTAAGCGACGGCCAATCCAGGACTTGGACACGGGCATTTCTTAAAAGATTCTGGGTAGCAATTGCTGTATGGGGTCGAGCATTGTCTTGTTGAAACGCTAGTCCAGGCCCATGTCTCTGCAAAATCTGATCCCTGTACTGGACAGCATTTAAGTGCCCTTGGACAACAACAAGAGGAGAACGTCCATGTGCACAAAAAGAACCCCAAACCATGACGCTGCCGCCACCAAATCGGTCAACTTCTCTGACGCATACTTGAGCGTAACGTTCACCTCGTCTGCGGTACACTCGGACCCTGCCATCGGCAAATCTCAAAGTGAATCGAGATTCGTCACTAAAGACAACCGAATTCCACTGTCTTTGAGTAAATCTTATTTGTCTTGTGGCCCACACAAGTCGGTTACGGCGATAAAGAGGTGTCAATATTGGTCCATTATAGGGCCCCCGAGCTTGAAGACCAGCAGCCTGCAAGCGATTTCGAACAGTTTGTGCAGTTACCCTTTCATCAAACATCTCTCTACTTGTGGAGCTTCTAGTGACAAATCTGTTTCTTAGATGACGTAATCGTATTGCGTGATCTTCCTGGAGTGACGTCACACGTGGCGCTCCCGCCCTTGGGCGGTCGGCAATAGTTCCAGTTTGAAGCACTCTCATTCTAAGATTAATTATTGTCTGGCGTGAACAATTGAAGGCTCTTGCAACAGTGACCACAGACTGACCAGCATAGAGCCTACCTATAGCACGTAGACGTTCTACATTTGAAAGGCGCTGCATTTTCTAACAAAGATGAAAATAACAATTTTAATTTGTTTTTCCAGTTCAAGTTACGTGTGCGTGTTCAGTTTAAGCAAACGTGCATCGATTGACCTCACGAGTTTGTGTTTGCACGTGTTTTTCATCTTTATATGCTCAAAAGTCACGTGATCCACGTGACTTTACAATTTTATGAAATTAAAGGCTTCTTACTAATTACTATCGTTAGAAACACTTTAAAATTTATTTGACTTACCAGAAAAAAAATTCTGTTGAAATTCATCAGTGTCAAGTTTTTAATTTGGCTGAGTATATCTGATGTACGTAATGTTCGGCCATGTGTATAAAGTTCTAAAAGATCCGAGAGGTAAACAGGAGCTAAATTATTTAAACATTTAAAAGTAAGTAATAAAATCTTAAAATCAATTCGATATTTAACAGGTAACCAGTGTAAATTATATAAAACAGGAGTTATGTGGTCACATTTCTTAGTTAAAGTAACACGTCTAGCTGCAGTATTCTGTACTTTTTGTAATTTATCTATCAGCTTAAAAGGTAAACCAACTAAAAGTGAATTAAGTTATCTAATCGAGAAGTGATCAGAGAATTAACAAGTGACCTCTACAGTTACAAATTTACGTATTTTACCTATATTTCTGATATTAAAATAGCACAATTTACAAATATTATTTACTTGAGCTCCCATAAGCATAAAACTATCAAAGATTGCCCAAATATTACGAGCAGAATAAGATGAAAATATATCACAATTATAATTATCATGTGCAAATTTACATAATTGATGCCTTGAGCCTAATAACAAATATTCGGTTTTATCATCATTCAATTTGAGAAAGTTCTTCGACATCCATCTTCTAATTTCACTAATACAGTTCTCAAGTTGCAATTTTGATAAATTGAAAGAAGATGGACAATTAGGTGTAAATGAAATATATAATTGAGTATCATCGGCATACAAATAAAAGCTGAGACCATATTTTCTGACAATATCACCTAATGGTGACGTATAGAGGGTAAATAAAATCGGACCAAGAACAGAACCTTGAGGAACACCAGATGACAAAACAAATTCAGATGACGATTTACAATTAACTAAAATACACCGTTTTCTACCCACAATATAGCTTTCTAAAAGATTTAATGCAGAGCCACAAATACCGAATTAAAGAATGGAAGGGTCTACCGTGTCAAAAGCAGCAGATAAATCTAATAAAATTGAAAATGTACATTTTCTATTATCAATTGACCTGGGTTAAAGCTGTTTCGATACTGTGAAATTGTTTATAAGCACTTTGAAATGGTTCATACAAACAGTTATCATCTAGATGGGCCTTTATCATAGAAGCAATACATTTCTTCAATATTTGAGAAATAAAACTTAAGAAATACACAGGTCTGTAATTTTTAAAAAAAACATTAGGATCCAGTGTAGACTTTTTGTTTAAAGGGGTATATAAGCTTGTTTGAAAACGCTGGGAGTAGTAGAGGATGATATACAAGAATTAATAATATTGGTAAAAACTGGAATAACTTCGTCTAGACAGTCCTTAAGAATAGGAGTCGGAACAGGGGTTCATTCCCATATCATATTTAGGTGGTTGTCGCTGGTCACTTGAATACTGCAATAACTGAATTTCAATCATCTTTTGCTCTTCTTGCAAAAATGCCATTACTTAAAAAATATTAGAATAAGTTTTTGCCATCCCTCTAACGGTGATATACTAAAACGGTTTTTGAAATCTGATAAAAACTGTGACCTCTAGAGGGACCACAATCTAAAAACGCGATTTTTCGTACACTCAGGAGCCATAATTCAGGAAGTTACGACCCGATATGCGAGAATATCGAAAGAAACCAAGATCTTTGAGTTATAAACATGCATGTCAAGTTTCATCAAAATCGGATAAAAATTGTGACCTCTAGAGTGTCCACAGGCTAAAAACGTGATTTTTCGTACAATCTGGGGGCCATAATCCATAAAGTTATGGTCCGATACATGCCAATATCGAAAGGGTCCGAGATCTTTGGGAGATTGAACTATATTTCAAGTTTCGTCAAAATCGGATAAAAATTGTGACCTGTAGAGTGTCCACAAACAAATTGTGGACGGACGGACAGGGGCGACGACAATATACGTCCACGGGAAAATGTAGGCATATAAAAATGTTAGTGAATGTTAATATAGACTGTGTGCACATGGTTGTCAGTCTGTATACTTTGAAAGTACACTATATAATAAAGAAAAAAATAGCTAAAGCATTAAATTAGCACAAGAATTAAACAGTTATAATTGGGTTTGAGCTCTGATTTTAAAACGGCTGATGGATTATATATTTCAGGTTTGAAAGGGCTTTACAGGAAAAGGTTCCTGGGGTATGCTTACCATACATAGATAACACCATTGAAAGTGAGGTAGACGTCAATGAGATATCACATTTGTTTTCAGAAGATTTTGCCGGAACAGCTAATGGTGTTGTCACGTCGGGTCCATTCGCTAACTGGACAACTCCCGTTGGTCCGTTAACTAGAAATGTTGGTAACCAAGCCGTACCAATGTCTAAATTGCAATTAGATGGCATAATGTCACGTAATTCAATGGAAGAAATCAATGAACCATCTGAAAATGCAGAATTTAGTTTGGAATTTAATCACGGGGCTTTTCACATTTTTATCGGAGGTCACATGGAAAATTTAGACAGGGCGTCGTTCGATCCGTTATTTTTCCTTCATCACTGCTACATAGACAAAGTCTGGCAATTATTTCGTGAAAAACTGCGTAGTATTGGTGTTGATCCAAACATTTACCCTGAAATGTCTAACACTCCATCACTTCAGATCGCTAATGCACTTCTTGGATTTGGTAACGTGACAGCATCGGAAAGTTATAGTGATATATTTGAATTATATGACTACGAGCCAGCACCAGAATGTAGCCAAATAAATCCAAGTTGTGGTTCAACAAAGTACCTTCAATGTAATACAGACACGTGGAGATGTGTACCAGTTGATCCGAATACAGTAACAGGGCCAATTAATCCCGGGCCAGTTAGTCCCGGGCCTATTAATCCCGGGCCAGTTAGTCCCGGGCCTGTTAATCCCGGGCCTATCAACCATGGTCAAAACTGCTCTAAAAGGGACAAAAAAAGGTTTATTCGATCTCCAAAATCTTGTCAGAACACATTTTGTATTGATAGCAAATGTGACATTAACCAGTGGATTTATATTCCAGTTAAAATCATCACAACCCGACCTCCTGAATTTAAAGGAAGTCTATCATTTCCTGTAAAAAATGGACATGTTGAAACTGGAGAGGATATTTATGGGCTGTCAGCATACACGAATGTCAATCAGTATGTTAAGCCGAGACTTGTTGAACCTAAAGGTTATGGAAACTGTGAAGATACTCAAGGTATAGGCCAAATTTTCATTTCTTCGCAAGGTATTAATTATGAGGGTTATTATTCTGAATCATCCATCGTTGATCAACGTCTTGCTACGTCAATGAGCATTGCATACATGGCAGTAAAGAATATGGGACGGACTGGAAAAACCACTGCACTTTTGAGAGCTTTTGATCAATGCGGACGTATTTGTCACACGGCATGCAAAGTTCCTGGTTCTAATCCGGCAAAATATCGGCCATGTTCCGGAGTTGTTAATATCACGCCCGATCTACCTAAACAGTACGGAACTTCCTACGGAGAGGCACTGCTTGATGTTTGGGGTTACAGAAATGACAGAGAGTGTCCCACTTTTGACACAGACGACTTTTTTATATCTTTCTATTGTGATTATAAAGATCGATTACCATGGGTGAAAGAACTACCAAAACCAGTTCCACCCCCGGCACCTTTACCAATTGTTACACAAGGTAAGTACCAATCAGTTCGTTCAACTAATCACCTTTTGTGATGAATAGTAATAAAGCAAGGAAGGTGATTTAGTTATGGACCTGACCCGAATGACATATCTGTTGAAGACTTAATATATCATTATCAATTATGTCACACCAATGTGAGTCACGTCGTCTTATTTCTAACATTAAACACCATAAAGAAAAACCTTTAGCCATTGCCTTCTATCCATAAAGTCTTAAGTGCGCATTGAAAAAATATGAACAGTCCAAAGTTAGTCGTGTTTATAGTGATTTGCAGGTATAATAGGCATTTTTGTGAAACATGGTTATTGATTTAGTAGAAGGGATTACAATATCTGTCAAAAAGAGGGAATCGATTAAATAATAACATCCTGCTTTGACATTAAAACAAATAAATAAGCAATGTTATGAAAATAGCCTTTAAACAAAGGTTAACTATTGTTTATGTTGATATTGTTTCAGGTTGTCAAGTGTCACCAGGATGTACTGTAGATATAGCATGTGAAAACAAGAGATGTAAGAAATACGGCGCAAGGTTCCCCTGTATGGATGATTGTTCCCAATATGCACTTTGCGTTTACGGTCAGTTTAGGTCGAGATCATGTCCACGTGGAATGATATATAGCTCCACTAGAAATACCTGTGTTATAGGAACTTGCTCGAATACCAAGGTAATTGGTGGTAGGGATCAAATGTTTTCAATGTTTAATACTCCAATACTAGGTTAGTCGGTACATCGTAGAAACTTTGCTCAACGTGACTATATACTCTATATATAATTGCGCCATATAAAATATACCAATGTTATCATACGATTTATTTTTCCCCGGAAGTTTACATAGATGACAAAATATTAGTTCAGGCATGCACAAATCAAAGGATTATTTGTCACCGATGGCCCGACACCTCTTTGGTACCAAACCGCCGAGCCACACACTCGGCGCACACCATAAAGATTTCTAGTTACCGACATTTGTCAGCGATAGTATGTCGGTCTCGAGAGTTCGTTATCGCCTTCATTCTTGGGTCTCTTTAAGGGTTCAGTCACACAACTTTGTGATCGCCACCAAAAGCTTAAAGATACATTATGTAAGATTTAGATAATGAGCTAGCCATAAAGATTTCTAGTTACCGACATTTGTCAGCGATAGTATGTCGTTCTCGAGAGTTCGTTATCGCCAGGGGCGGATTGGGGCCGGGAACCTACTCGGGCTCCCTTGTCGGAGCGACCCCTTTTACAATCTGGTTAAAACACAGATCCTATTTCGTTTCGTTTTTATAGTTCAAAATTTCGTTTTACTTGTCTTTACTACACTTGGATCTGGAAGAGTTGTTATTTACTGTGTGAACCTTGCAATTTTATAAACGGATTTCTTCGATTATGAACAAACTATTTAACTTTGGTTATTATAAACTTACCTGTGTGTTTGAAATCAACTCCGGTTAAATAAAATCCATTGCACAATTAAATATCACAACGAATAAAAAAGTTCTCTCTTGAAAAATTGAACTCAAACTTTTGACATAGGGCAATACAAAAATGGAAGCCGGTTACGTCACTCTTCGGGAGATATCATTTCGTATAAATGGGTGACAGCATGCTACATCGAAACGTTTTACAGTACATTTACGACAATTCGTGGTATTAGCCTCGTCTTGGTATTGAGTTTGGGGGTTCGGCCCATATCTCTCTACCCGTATTTTATTACGGTACCATAGTTTTACATTCTAGTAAAATCCCTGCAAGGTTTATACATTTTCTTTTGAAATAATATAATTTTGTTTCAACTATTGGCCCTTTCTATACAGACTGTGGATAGTTTCCCTAATTACGCTCCGGTCAAAACTGTCGAATCTGGAAGTAAATGTACGCTTCTTACGAGGTCTTATAGGTTTTTTGGCATTATAACCCACAGAATTGGCACCTTCAGGGCTGCCGCAACACGCTTGTATATATTTCTGAAACGGTTATCGTTTCCTCGAAAGAATGATAAAGTTAACGATGCACTCGAAACTTCGGTCGTGAGCTTCATGTTGTTTCTTTAAATTATTTATAATACATGTATAAAGAAGATAGGGAAGGTTAAGTTTAAATACGACTTTATTTTTACGAGTATCCGTGCAATCATTGATATTTTCATTGTGAATAAAATTTGGTAGACTGGCCATCAATGGTTTTAATATATATCTTCTATGTAATTGCTTTTAGTTCAAATGTTTCGTCGCCCAAACTCAAACGATCGCGGTTTGTTTTCATAGCAACACGTGGTTGTCAAACTCGCTGTCAAAACTAAACACCCCACAACAATTTTAATGGTTTCGTCCAACACGTGACGAAAGCCATGTTGTCTCCCACTTAGTAGAAATAAATAAATAAATAGTAATTGAACTAGAGTATACAGGTCACAATTCTATGGAATACAATTACTGCTTTTTGCTGAGCGACGTTTCGACTAGGCTTCTCTAGTCATTATCAAGCTATGATAAAAAATGAAAATATGACAGGACAATATATACATGTACACAACAATGCTAAGTTAATGCTGACAAACCAGGGATGTAACTTAATTACGTGTACCTAATGGTAATCTGATTTAATTGTACGCTAATAAGTAATAATACCAATTAATCTAAAAAATTGACTAATTGATTAATGGATAAGTTGTTGTGGAGTATACACAATGATTAGTGGGTTTTAATAATACAAACGTTGCAAAAAAATGAAAATTGATGAAATGTTATCAACGACCCCTTTCACTGAAATAAATACAAATGATAAAAGAATAGATTGTTGTGGAGTATTTACAACGATTTGATGAGGTTTTGATAATGACAACATCCCACGAAGATGAGAGTTGATTGGTGTTATGACCAAAATAATTGATATGTGGATGTTGATACGAGTGATTACACTGATATACGAAAAACCCTTAGAACAATGACTGCACAAATGATCAATAGTCCCCTGAAGGCTGACGATTTAAAATATTGAGTGGTACTTCACTGGATGTTATAGTGATGTAGAAAAGCAGGGTTAGAAATATTGAGTGCATTAAATTACAATAACCGCAGGCCTGAAAAGCAAAAATGCCTGAAAAGCAAAAATAGTTGGGAATTATTAGTTGTCATTTTTGCATATTATGATGGTTATTACAAACTTAAAGTTATTACTGGAATATTGATAAGTATTAAATATGATAAAAAAGAAAAAAGTAGAATTATGCTTAGCCTTGATTATGTGATAAGAATATCATAGGATTTTGTTTACCATTGGCTCTTAATATATCTTTAGTGCTGTAGCTTTTTGTGAAAGTTACATCTATTTCTGGTTGTTGCATTAGTAGCCGTTTGATTTGGTAGGAGACTTTGCCGTTGAAAGGAAGGAAGATTCTGACTGGGGCAGTCGGGGTTTTTGGTTTAGCTGCACTCGCCGACAGGATCTTGTTGATGGCGTTTGTCACAAACTTCCCTGGATAGCCGTTGAAATTTGTGAAGACATGTTTGAGATGATCAATTTCCTTGGAGAGGCTCTCAGGATCACATATCTTTTTCGCACGGTTCACCAGAGTTGAAATTGTGGCCGATTTGACGCTATTCGGGTGATTAGATTTGAAGTGAATGTATTGGTCGGTGTGGGTTGGTTTCCTATAGACACTGGTACGGATCGAGTTGTTGGTTTTAGATACACAAACATCGAGGAAGGGTAGTTGGTTATCATTTTCGGTTTCCATTGTGAATTTTATACGTGGGTGTTGCCTGTTGAGGTGTTGTAACAGTGTTTCTGAATCATCTTGTTGATTGATAATAACAAAGGTATCATCCACTTGCCTAAAGAAGCATGTTGGGGTTACGGTGGATGTTTGAAGCGCCTTCTCTTCTAAATCAGTTAAAATTATTTCTGAAATTAAAGGGGAGAGGGGCTTCCCATGGGTAATCCATTGGTCTGTTGAATTGATGCATTGTTTCAACAAGAGTATGATGTTGTCTGTTGATAGGGAAGTCTCTAGTGGGTTTTCTAAACTTTCTATGCGCTTGCGTAGAATCTTCAGGGCCTCTTCCCTTGGTACATTTGTAAACAAATCTACAACATCATATGAGTTTTTTAAGCAAGTTTTCATGGCTGTCCTTGTGCGCGTTTGTTGGGTCTTTGCGGATTCTTCTATATGTTGCTGGATCTTGGAGTAAACCGTTGACCGTTGTGAGGTACTCGTGAGTATTCATGATGACTGTTGCTTTTCCCTTGCCTGCGGTTATTGTAATTTAATGCACTCAATATTTCTAACCCTGCTTTTCTACATCACTATAACATCCAGTGAAGTACCACTCAATATTTTAAATCGTCAGCCTTCAGGGGACTATTGATCATTTGTGCAGTCATTGTTCTAAGGGTTTTTCGTATATCAGTGTAATCACTCGCATCAACATCCACATATCAATTATTTTGGTCATAACACCAATCAAATCTCATCTTCGTGGGATGTTGTCATTATCAAAACCTCATCAAATCGTTGTAAATACTCCACAACAATCTATTCTTTTATCATTTGTATTTATTTCAGTGAAAGGGGTCGTTGATAACATTTCATCAATTTTCATTTTCTTGCAACGTTTGTATTATTAAAACCCACTAATCTTTGTGTATACTCCACAACAACTTATCCATTAATCAATTTTTTAGGATAATTGGTATTATTACTTATTAGCGTACAATTAAATCAGATTACCATTAGGTACACGTAATTAAGTTACATCCCTGGTTTGTCAGCATTAACTTAGCATTGTTGTGTACATGTATATATTGTCCTGTCATATTTTCATTTTTTATCATAGCTTGATAATGACTAGAGAAGCCTAGTCGAAACGTCGCTCAGTAAAAAGCAGTAATTGTATTCCATAGAATTGTGACCTGTATACTATAGAAAATATAAGTAAACACGTCAAATTTTTCAAGAGAGAACTTTTTTATTCGTTGGGATATTTAATTGTGCAATGGATTTTATTTAACTGGAGTTGATTTCAAACACACAGGTAAGTTTATAATAACCAAAGTTAAATAGTTTGTTCATAATCGAAGAAATCCGTTTATAAAATAGCAAGGTTCACACAGTAACTTGTGTTCTGAATGGTGTCAGGGATAAGCCAATGAAACGGTCTGTCACGGGGAGCTTTAGGCGTGTTTTGCACTGAACTGTGGGTAGTCAACTAGTAACATCAATGCTGATTGCTTAATCAAATGTCTGACATCATCGGGTCATAAGTCGGTCTTTTGACCCCTGACGTGACCTATGGCTATAACTTGTCAGATCTTCATGTAGTGTAGGCCATCGAAAGTATAAAAAAATGAAACAAAATATTGATCTGTAGTTTAATCAGATTGCCCCTTTTACTGACCGAGGAGCCCAGAAAATTTTGGAAGATGAACCCCAAATATGCGATTTGGTGGCATATCTGATTATAACCTCTGTCAAATTAAATATCTCACAAATCGATTAATTTAGGCCAAAACCACGACCTGCAAGTAATTTACAACCATCAACCTGTGAAATTATCATATCGTCATATTATTAATTAACGTATTATCATTGTATCGACAAGAGTCAAGAGAATTTAACTGGTTAAAAAATGGGACTAGTTGAGAAAATTTTGACCATTTGATTAACCAGTTAGGAATATTGAATAAGTAGGAATATTTTCATTGCAAAATGTCCCATTTTTGTTGCCCGGGGCGCTAGCTGATTCTTCCTGTGGTGGAAGGCCACGAGACACATTGGTACAGAGTGACGAAAGTGAAATTCATGAAAGCTGCT